TCATACCCTCCGATACTACTCACAGATTCATCAAAATAAGCAAATAACAAATAGAAAATAAAATCTGTCAAAAACAGAACAATCTGTAGTAATATGGAAAGTTTTCATACTTCTGTAAATCCAATTTTTTTGAAAAAATAGGAAAATCTAGGAAATTTGTATATCCATCTTGTGTAAAAAATTCAGATCAAAAGCACTCTAGTGAATTTTCAAATTTCCTGTACTTAGCGCAAAAGTTTCTGTTTTTGCAGAGAATCAAGTCAACTATCATCCACACTATCCCAAAGGCTTTACTTGGCACTTTATTAAAACAAAATCTATAAAACATGATTAATACAGTAGCATAATCATGTGAACACACAAAACAGTAGGGGTAAATATTAGGTTGTTCCCAACAAGCGCTTTTCTTTAATGCCTTTTTAGCTAGGCATGATGATTTCAATGTTGCTCACATAAAAGATAAGAATTGAAACACAAAGAGAGCATCGATCATGAAGAATATGACTAACACATTTAAGTCTAACCCACTTCCTATGCCTAGGGATTTTTTGAGCAAACAACTTATGGGAACAAGAATCAACTACCATAGGAAGGTAAAGCAAGCAAACCTTCAAGATTTTAAGCACATAGAGAGGAAACTTGATATTATTGTAATACTTAAAAGCATATGTTCCTCTCTCATAATAATTTTCAGTAGCATCATGGATGAATTCAACAATATAACTATCACATAAAGCACTATTTTCATGATGCACAAGCATATAATTTTTATTACCCTCCACATAAGCAAATTTGTTCTCATGAATAGTAGTGGGAGCAAACTCAACAAAATAACTATCATGCGAGGCATAATCCAATTGAAAATTAAAATCAAGATGAAAAGTTTCATGGTTATCATTATTCTTTATAGCATACATGTCATCACAATAATCATCATAGATAGCAACTTTGTTGTCATAATCAATTGAAACCTCTTTCGAGATAGATTCATCACTAAACAAAGTCATGACCTCTCCAAATCCACTTTCATAATTAACACAATAAGATTCAACACCCTCCAAAATAGTGAGATCATTACTTCCTAAAGTTGACACTCTTCCAAACTCACTTTCATCAATATAATCATCATAAATAGGAGGCATGCTTTCATCATAATAAACATCCTCATCAAAACTTGGGGGACTAAAAATATCATCTTCATCAAACATAGCATCCCCAAGCTTGTGGCTTTGCATATCATTAGCATAACGGATATTCAAAGGATTCATACTAACAACATTGCAATCATGCTCATCATTAAAAAAATTAGTGCCAAACATTTTATAGACTTCTTCTTCTAACACTTGAGCACAATTTTCCTTTCCATCATTTTCATGAAATACATTAAAAAGATGAAGCATATGAGGCAACCTCAATTCCATTTTTTTGTAGTTTTCTTTTATAGACTAAACTAGTGATAAAACAAGAAACTAAAAGATTCAATTGCAAGATCTAAAAATATACCTTCAAGCACTCACCTCCCCGACAACGGCGCCAGAAAAGAGCTTGATGTCTACTACGCAACCTTCTTCTTGTAGACTCGTGTTGGGCCTCCAAGCGCATAGTTTTGTAGGACAATAGCAAATTTCCCTCAAGTGGATGACCTAAGGTTTATCAATCCATGGGAGGCATAGGATGAAGATTGCCTCTCTCAAACAACCCTGCAACCAAATAACAAAGAGTCTCTTGTGTCTCCAACACACCCAATACAATGGTAAATTGTATAGGTGCACTAGTTCAGCGAAGAGATGGTGATACAAGTGTAATATGGATGGTAGATATAGGTTTTTGTAATCTGAAAATATAAAAACAACAATGTAACTAGTAATAAAAGTGAGCAAAAACGGTATTGCAATGCTCAGAAACAAGACCTAGGGTTCATACTTTCACTGGTGCAAGTTCTCTCAACAATGATAACATAATTAGATCATATAAAAATCCCTCAACGTGCAACAAAGAGTCACTCCAAAGTCACTAATAGTAGAGAACAAACAGAGAAATTATTGTAGGGTACGAACCACCTCAAAGTTTTTCTTTCTAATCGATCTATTGGGCTATTCCTATAAGTGTCACAAGCAGCCCTAGAGTTCGTACTAAAATAACACCTTAAGACAAACATCAACCAAAACCCTAATGTCACCTAGATACTCCAATGTCGCCACAAGTATCCGCGGGTTTGATTATATGATATGCATCACAATCCCAAATTCATCTATTCAAACCAACACAAAGAACTTCAAAGAGTGTCCCAAAGTTTCTACCAGAAAGTCAAGATGAAAACGTGTGCTAACCCCTATGCATAAGTTCACAAGGTCATAGAACCCGCAAGTTGATCACCAAAACATACATCAAGTGGATCACATGAATATCCCATTGTCACCACAGATAAGCACATGCAAGACATACATCAAGTGTTCTCAAATCCTTAAAGACTCAATCCGATAAGATTACTTCAAAGGGAAAACTCAATCCATTACAAGAAGGTAGAGGGGGAGAAACATCATAAGATTCAACTATAGTAACAAAGCTCGCGGTACATCAAGATCGTTCAAATCAAGAACACGAGAGAGAGAGATCAAACACATAGCTACTGGCACATACCCTCAGCCCTGAGGGCGAACTACTCCCTCCTCGTCATGGAGAGCGCCGGGATGATGAAGATGGCCACCGGTGATGATTCCCCCCTCTGGCAGGGTGCCGGAACAGGGTCCCGATTGGTTTTTGGTGGCTATAGAGGCTTGCGGCGGCGGAACTCCCAATCTAGGTTCTGTTCTGGAAGTTTGGGGATATATAAGAGGTGTTGTCCTCGGAAACAAGTCAGGGGGGGTCCACAAGGCATCCACGAGGTAGGAGCACCCTCCCTGGGGGGTAGGGCGCGCCCTCCACCCTCGTGATGGCCTTGCAACTCTTCTGGTCCATCTTCGATGCTCCGTTGGCTTCTTCTGGTCCAAAAATATTCTCCATAAATTTTAAGGTCAATTGGCCTCCGTTTGGTATTCCTTTTTTGTAAAACTCAAAAATAAGGAAAAAACAAAAACTAGCAATGGGCTCTAGGTTAATAGGTTAGTCCCAAAAATCATATAAAATAGTATATAAATGCATATAAAACATCCAAGATGAATAATATAATAGCATGGAACAATCAAAAATTATAGATACATTGGAGACGTATCAGTGGTTGCTCAAGCGGCATCACCCAGGACATGATCATCAATAGTGCCACACGCCGATTGCGTGCCTGCGATGTCACATGTGGCCCCAACCTTGTAAGAGCTCATAACCAAGATTTTTTAATCACTAAATCTGTTTGCAAGACAAAAAACAAATGGAAAATGAGATCAATTCCTCGATTGATTGACATTGCCATCATTCTTGAAGTTGACAGACGGTTTGTTAGCAACTCATTGGCTACACCTACATAGGAGAACCGACGACAATGGTGCAGTTGCATTGGGAGGAAGAATGAGGATACACCCGCCGGGAGGATAGGACTGTGAGACCGAAGAGATGAGAACACAATGGTGCTCGTGCTTAATAGCTTGAATGGAACTGATGGCATTCACAACGGCCTTTCGCGAACTTTCCAAAGGGGCGGCGACGACTACATGTGTATAACAACAAGCGTTATCGAGCAATTATTTACTTATATCACAAGGTCAATGCATGGTTTGGCCAATACATGGTTTGATTTGGAATCAGGCCAGACTGAGAAAAAGACTAAACCACCCTTTTGCATGGAGGGTCGATTTGAGCGGTACTTCCACTTATACTAATGAAGTACCGGTGGTACTATAAATATCCTCTTGCATCCATAGTTGTGCAAAGCTAGAATCACAAGCGAAATCAGGCTCGATCTATAACTACAAACGTATAGGGATGACCACGACTTGTTCATGACGATCTAGAAAAAAGCAACATACTTGGACTGAGCGATGACTCACATGTGCAAGAATACAAGTAGTCGGGGCATTGGAGGGGACAATGGAACAATGAAGGCACTGAAATGGAGGGGCGGTGGTCATGGTATGAAGGGCGCATCTCCATGACCTACAACGACAAAGGGCATGGTGTCGCATGTGATAGCTCTACGGCCCGTTGAGGTGGGGAGGGGGGGAGGGATGGAAGCAGCAGGAGCATCACATAGGAGGGGCAGTGGGGACTGTATGGTCTAAAGGGTGCGTCATCATGACATCTGGTGGTCAAGTCATGGTCTCGCACGTAATACCAACATGACCTCATATATCGAGGATGAAGGATTTGAAGATGAAGTATTTCAAGAAACGTTGAAGGGTCATCGAGGTCCAAGGTTTATCTCATTGTAGTGGTAAGAGGGGGTTATGTGTTAATTTGGGCTAAGTGTCTTGTCAATAATCCGACCTTTCATCTCCATCGCTGTTGATCCCTGACTAACGATGTTAGTTTACAGACTATGGATACTTCGTCTACATTTTGTACTTAAGGTTAGAGTTAGATTGACAACAAGACTTCCTACGGCAAAGTAAATATTAACAACAAGAATTGTCTTTTTTTTTAGAATTATTAAAAGAAAAGAGAATCATGATATTCTTTTTTAGGAACAGATTTCTTTTTGAGGGTATTTTTAGGAACAGCTTATTTTGAGGGAATTTTTAGGAGCAGTTTTTTCTTTGAGGATTTTTTTTTGGGAATAGATATTTTTTGAGAGAATTTTAGGAACACATGAATCGTGATTTTTTTTTTGAGTAGACATGAATCGTGATGTAGACGTATTACGAGTGAACAGACTCGAAAGCCTACAGACCGGTGGGCTTGGCCCAGGCAGCTGAGGCAGGCGACTGTTTTTGGATCGGGCTATTGCCTCTTCTTCTCCCCTGCAACCCCCAACTCGTCGTCGTCTTCCCAAGGCTCCAACCCTAGCCACCCTTCCTCGCAATCCTTCCCCCAAGCCGGCGGCGGCCCCGGCGGCCGCACCATCTGTGAAAATGTCGGGAGGCTTCTTCCGGGTAAGCGGCTACGGTTCTCCGCATTGATTTAGTTCGCCAACCTCGCTTCGTTTTTCCGGTTCGTCGGATCTGTGTCAGGTGCGCTGATTCGCCGTGCTTTTTTTGCAGGGGACGTCGGCCGACCAGGATACCAGATTCTCCAACAAGCATGCCAAGCTGCTCAAGACGCAGAAGTTCGCGTCCGAGCTTGACCATCAGGTTAGCTTTTTCGTTCTCGCCCTATGCCTCCATTGGGTTCTAGCGGATGAGCGTCCAGAGGTGGACTATCTGCCGTGGGTTCAAGTTAAACTCTAATTTGTTTCTTTCCTTGGGTTTAGGTGGACATGTCAAAGGTGAAGATGGACGTGATGAAGCCGTGGATTGCCACACGGGTCACCGAGCTTCTTGGGTTCGAGGACGAAGTGCTTATCAACTTCATCTACGGCCTGCTCGATGCGAAGGTGAGGTTTCTGAAGATATACTTCTTTAACATGAGCAATGGCGCTTGCATCTTATGGCCTCGTTGAACAAACACAGATGGATTTTCTGATTGAAGATATGCCTACCAATTAATTAAAAACGAAACTCTGTATTCTATATTCATGTAAAGCATCTCTGGATATATTGGATTTCGTCCATTCAGCTTTAAGGTTGTAAGCTACGAACCCAATTATCTTCATGGTGTAGCTCAGGAGTCAGGAATGAAAACTGAAATCATACACATGTAATTCAGGAACTAAGTTTAAAGTCTCGCATAGGCTTGTTTGGATAGTGTAAGATAGGTAATCACAGCCATCTTGTGGAGCTAAACCACAACATTTTCCAATTTGCTAAATACCAATTTAATTAGCTCACCAGAACTTCTTGTGAACTTGTGAAACAAGTATGGGCTGTACCTGTAAAAGTTAATCATTATCATACTAGTGCTTTTTTCTGGCCATGTCATCGAATTATTTGTTGCCTGGATATGATTTTGTTGGATCAGTCAGCCCAAACGTAGGTGCTATAGTTGTCTAATGATTAAATTAGTTCTGTGCGGCTGATAATAAATAGTAGGAGCTCAGGAGCTTTATAAGGTTTTTGTTTGTTTTGCAGGAGGTGGACGGGAAGTACATACAGATCCAGCTGACAGGGTTCATGGAGAAGAATACAATAAAATTCATGAGGGAGCTGTGGAGCCTCCTTCTCAGTGCGCAGCAGAATGCCAGTGGTGTGCCCCAGCAATTTTTGGATGCAAAGGAGGCTGAGATTCAGCAGAGAAAGGTTTGCATAAATACATCAATTTATTAGTATTATAGCAATATTTCTATGACACACGTCAGTCATGTTGTTCTGAGTTAACTCATAATAAGCTAGAATACATACATAAGACATCAAACTAGCATGGCCTTACAATGACCTAGAATCAGTTCTGTTTAGTTGATCGCGTGGTCGGTATTTGGCTTCCAATAAAAATGCCAACTAGGTGTGATTTGTTGCGCTACTAGTTAGTATGTCGGTACTGCAGCAGCTCAAGTCGTCCTTTTGACTATAATCTTTCAGTTGACCACCGTAAGTCGGTATTGAGTGGAAGCATGCTCCATTTCAATCTAAGTTTTTTTTTTGAGCTACCTCCTTTTATTTACGGTAATTATCATTTATTTGAATCTAAAATGTACGAATTGGGTTAAATGCTGCAAACCATCTTAGCCATCCAATCTTATTAAGTTGTATATATTCAAATTATGTCTTAACTGTAAATTTAATCCTTTAATAAGAACTTGTACTGTATTAATTATCCTTACAACTCCTCTTTTCAAATTACGAGGAGTTGCACAACATATTTCACATATCCTTAACCATGATGCTATGATTGCTGAATTTGTTTGACTCTCCATACGATCTACTGTTACAACATATTCCGGTTCTTGTATCGTTCTTGTATGTCTGTAAGATTGTATTAAGTTCATTAAAGTGAATCCAAAAAAAAAATCCAGCTGGAAGTTCTAAAACGGGTGGCATTATAGTTTGGGAACCATGCGTTGAACGTGATCTTTGCTGGTAACTTTATTTTTATGATATATTTAGATTGTTTTTTGAGTTATTCTTTCTTTTAAAAAAGCCTATAATGTTAGGAACCTTGGTTCAGAGTGGGATAATTTTGGCAGGGTAAGGGTTACAAGATCTGTACTGACCGTCAACAACCGGTGACAGGCAAGGATGTCAAAAAAGTTTGAGCTCGTCACAATATTCGAGCTTGGCTCGTTTTGGGTTCGGCTCAAAGCCTAAACAAGCCGAGCTCAAGATTGACCTTATGCTCGTGAGCCTGGGAAGCTTGGTTCGAAAATGCTCGATAAGGCTCGGTATAATACTACCATGCAGCCCACCTGATAAATATTAACTCTTTACAACAACAACAACAACAACAAAGCCTTTCGTCCCAAACAAGTTGGGGTAGGCTAGAGCTGAAACCCATAAAATCTCATAACCAACTCATGGTTCTGACACATGGATAGCTCCACGCACCCCTCTCCATGGCTAGTTCTTTGGTGATATTCTAGTCTTCAGATCTCTCTTTACGGACTACTCCCATGTCAAGTTTGGTCTACCCCGACCTCTCTTGACATTATCAGCACGCTTTAGCCGCCCGCTGTGCACTGGGGCTTCTGGAGGCCTGCGCTGAATATGCCCAAACCATCTCAGATGATGTTGGACAAGCTTCTCTTCAATCGGTCCTTCTGTACGTAGGTGTGGCCCAAATATCTCCAAGCCCAATAATCAAATCATCAGAATGTGAGCAATTCACAAGAAGCTTAGCCTAGTCTGGTAAGAGAAAAGCTGCGCGTAGCAATGACTGGAGGGCCGAAGAACATTCATGGCCCTATAGCTATACTTGTGCATCAACCCATCTCTTATTAGTCCATGTAACAAACAGTAGGGCTGAGTAGATTAGTACCACCTCACCTATTGTAGAAGAGTGGGGTTGGAGGACTATCTATAAAAGAGTGGCTTGATAAGGCATGCGACAGTCGATGCCTATTGCCTAGCGTGTTGGCAATATGATAAAAATTAATAATATTACTCAAGAGTTTTCGTGAGCCCTAATGATCTGGGATCGAACTGTTTCTAGCTTTTGGCAAAGCCGAACTCGAGCCGTTATGTCGATAGGCCGTGCTCTAGGCATATTTGGGCTGAGGATTGAATTGAGCTCAAGCCGAGCCAAGGTATATTTCCTTCAGCTCAGCTCGTTTAGAGCCGTAGTTCCAGGGCTCGTGCCTGATGTGCAAGGGTTGCTGTAAGGCTTAGATAACTTGTGATCGTTATATCATTTGATTAAAACAATACATGCTTCTCCTATATAATACTCCCTCCGTCCTAGAATAAGTGTCTTAACTTTGTACTAAGTTTAGTATAAAGTTATACTAAGGTTGAGACACTTATTTTGGGACAGAGGGAGTATAAGAGAATTGACTTGATCCACAAGTAGGATTTGAACCAGAATTGCAATGTTAACTACCTAAAACATGTCTTTTCTATCCGGATTAAGCTCTCCTAAACTAAAAGAAACTCCTAACTAGAGATAACTCAATTTCCTAGTGTCTCCATGATTGCACCCAATGCCTGCCTTGAAGGTGCACTGTGCTTCCTCGATCCCTTGTATGTGCCAAATCTGGATTCCTCTCCTATGATATGTGTACATTTGGAGTTCTCCATACGCCTGGCCACCTACTCCATGTCAAGGATTGCTTGTATGTCTGCTGACAATACAAGGCTTGCGTGCGAATCTAATATAGCATTTCCTCTTTTTTGCTCTCGTTTATGTCTACTGTAGCAAACATGTATCATTATGGTTGAAGCTGCAGACGACCTTGTTTTATGTTTTTTCTCGGACGTTGCCCATAGAACACTATTTAATTAGTGTTGTGGCTAGTTTGTAACACTAGTCAAAGGTTGTATGGGTTGGTAGACTTCATTACATTTCTTTTATATGTGATTTTTTGAAAACATCATACTTCACTCTTGCCTTTAGTACTTCCTGTCTATTCAGTGAACCTGGTATTTACAGCATATAGAGTTGCTTGTGGAGTTGTGGGATTTAAATTGCAGAAAAGTGAGAGTTTTCTTATTAATCCACCTGTCTTGTGTTTAGGCGGAAGAGGCTAGAATTGCCCAGGAGATCCAGAAGAAGCGAGAGAAAGATGGAAGGGACACAGAACTAGCTAAACACAAAATGATGGTGAGTTAATTCCTTCTGACCAGTTTCCTTATATCACTGATTTAATGGTTATCCTGTGACCTCTTGTGTTTCTGATGACACTCAGATAGCTTCTCCGATTATTTCGGTTCATATCGTTCTTTACCTCCAACTACTGTAGGCCGGGGATACTGGTAATTCAAGATTTCATGGTGATTCACTTGGCTCTGCTTTAAACAATCCCAATGTTGATGCTGAGAAAGAAAAGGAACTGGACTTGAAGCATAGCTCGAGAACAAAGAGCCGGTTAGTTGTTAACTTTGACTATTTAGTGCATTCTATCAGATCAGATAATATTCGTAGAATGTCCACATTTGAGACCACCTTACTTTTTTGTCAGGAAAAATATATTCATATAATGCACATTATGCACGTCCTTGAGATGAAATTCTTCTCTTATTCTCAGAATCAGACTATTACATCGATGAAGTTCTGTTTTTCTTCTCCAAGAGTTGCCATTATTTGTTCTTCGTTGTTTTTGTTCCGCTTACAGCACTTCATCTCTTCCTCCAATTAACTATTATCATGTTCTGGTGATGACCTCAACAGCTGTGAAGGAAAAAAAAATCCTGCCACAATTAGGCAGTGCGAGATGGGCAAACTCAATTCCATTCTTTCATTTAGTTAACTATTTGTTTGGGATCCTTAATGAAGTCTTTAATTTCTGCATAAGAACAACACCAACAATACTTGGGAATAAGTGCATTCTTCATCTATGCCCTACACAACTATAGCGATAAGATTAATTTGCAGTATCTTTCCAGTGTTTTTTTTTTTACTTTTGCAGAATGTACTTCTATGTGTTGCTTCTATTCTCTTCTTTGAGCTCGTTGTCTGTTATCTGGTGGCCCTTGGTTGTGTTTTAGCAAGCAATTCTTCCACGCATGAGTTTTTATCATTGTTCATTGCATTTTAAATTTTCAGTAAGCTCATCAAGAATGCCTATATCCGAACCCTTCCTTGTTTTGTCATGTTCTTCATGGAAGATCATTTTCAGCCTTTGAAATGTGCACCATCTTTTTGAAAGAAACTTGTAATTTGAGCCCGTGTGTACTTAAACTCAGGTGGTGGGAATGTACATCATTCCCCATGTTTGTAATGTTTTGTGCATATTTCCTACAGGTTTGTGTCTTCTTTTGACTATACTTATCTTCCTTGCATGTTAGGTTTCTAATGTACCCAAAGGACTGTTCTTTGTAGGCATTTGCATTTCACATCTTTTCGAAAGAATTAAACAGTATGGTCCTGTAGAGCAGTGTGTGACCTAATTAACGAGGAATGAACAAAGCATCTTTGTGTGACCTGATCAGTAGTCATTTAATCTTGATTTGTGTTAGCTAGTGTTGGCATGTGTATTGTCAGCAGTCCTATGTATGGTCCTGTAAAGCAGTGTGTGACCTAATTTGAGGAATGAACAAGGCATCTTTGTGCGACCTGATCAGTAGTCGTTTAATCTTGATTTGTGTTAGCTTCTGTTGGCATGTGTATTGTCAGCAGTCCTATGTATTACTTGTTACACAACAATAAGTAAGTTTTCTCTGTCTCGACTGTAATCATTGCTTATAGGCAGTCTTATTCTCTTTTTTATATGCAGGGAACATCGAAGACCTAGGAGCACATCTTTGTCGCCCCGTGGTAGGCAACGGTCTATTTCTCCAAGGAGGCGCTCTCCATCCCCTTCCAGACAAAGATCATTGCGACGTTCAGCTTCACCTAGACGTTCTGTTTCCCCCCGAAGGCATTCCCCAAGAATTGCTCCTTCAGTGTCTAGGCGGAGGTCACCGTATTCCAGGAGATCACCTTCGGTACCTAGATCGCCATCACCTCGGCGGAGATTTCCCATTAGGAGAAGATCTCCACCACCTGGGCGACGTAGATCACCATCTCCTTATCGTCGTCGGTCCCCAGCTCGCGCACCTAGAAGATCACCATCTCCTGCGCGTCGCAGATCACCTCCTCGACATAGATTACCAGCAGATAGACACCGGTCCCCATCTCCAGGAAGGCGCAGGCCACGGTCCCCATCACCTGTAAGACGCAGGCCACGGTCCCCATCACCTAGAAGACATAGGCCACGTTCTCCAGGAAGACGACAGTCCCTGTCACCTCACCGCTCACCGCAGTTGAGGTCACCAAAACGCCAGAGAAAATCCCCAATTTCAATTAGGACGCTTTCTGCAAATCGTCCAGTCTCTCCACAGCGGAGGAGGTAATGCTGCTCTCTTATTTTCTTTGCACCCGATGTTTTGCTGCATGGATTTACACTTGTGCTGGAATTTACAGGAGTAGCAGTCCACACAGCAGGAGTCCAAATCGCTCACGTAGGAGTTTGAGCAGGGACGCAGAAAAGGGAACAAACGATGCACCCTCCACTAAAGGCAGGGATCTGGCTCAAAGGTAATACTACAGTATGCATGATGAATGCAGACATATTTTGTTGTTGTTATTCAGGGAAGTCATTGTCTTACTCCCAGTATTGCCTCAGGAACCAAGAAAGGAGTGGCCGAGAGTCACCGGATTTTGAACACCGTAGGCTCACAAAATCCTTGAGGTCTCCTACTAATGATGCAGAAAGAGACTCCACACGTGGCAGGTGTGTACTTGTCTATGTTGGTTTGTAATTCTATTTATTTTATTTTCCACTAACAGTGTCCAAACTGGGATGCTAACTTTCTGACCTTATTTTGGCAGTCCTTTGAAGGACACTGGAAAACATATGCCCAGTCAGGACAGCACAAATACCAGTGGAGATGAGGAAGAAGGCGGGCGTGCAAGGTTGGAATCTGTTCTTTCATGTCTTGTGTCTTCGTAAAAGTATCATTTGCCTCGCTGTCTATATATACTTTTCTTTTGTTTACATTCAGGGAGAATGCACGGAAGGCCAATTCATCACGCAGGATATCCAAGGATTTCTCGTCTGATCTGCAACTAAAGGAAGTCAACGTTGATAACTCAATCCCTGGAGAAAAACCCTCTTCCAGATCAAGACAGGAGTATGTTCCTCTACTTATCCCCTGCTTGAGATTGCTTGTAGTGCTTGATTGGACATCTCCTTACAGTGTCCTAGTTTTTATGCATTAAGAAAACACTATTGCTCTTTTGACATGCTATGGTTCAATGCTCTTTCCTTTCTTATTTAGACACTGAATATTGGGTTACAAATTTGCACTATTATCATCAGACACCATGTGTACTTGCTATATTATGCATGATAAACTTCCACTTGAAAAGATTTCCTGCATGTATCAACGTCTGAACTTTTTGTAGGAGTAATTATGATGATGTCAGTCGGTAAAACCTGTCAGAAGCATCTCCTCAGCAGCATGCATCCTTTCTTTCGGTAATAATCTAACAGTTTCTTTTTAATTCTAGTGGCGGCAAGGATGTCCCCAAGAAATATGATGATCAGCTATCAGATTCATCAGAAGATGCGCTTGATGGTAGAAGAATGAGACGCCAGGGTGATTCCCCTGACGATTCTCGTGTGAAACGGCAGTCCCCTAGTAGAGCTGGTGACTCTTATCCAAAGGATGGGATTAACATTGATCGTGCCAAAACGGATTCACTTGGTGCTTCTTATGATGCTATTGCAGCGAAGAAATACTCTGGTAAAGTTGATGAAGCTTCCCAATCAGATGGTGGAAGTCCTCTTCAAAAAGCTAAGAAAAGGACACATGATAGTAAACACATTGATCGTCGCAGTTCGGGCTCAGAAGAATCTGAGAAACACAGATCCCAGTCCGAGAAGCGAAGACATAAAAAGGGTCACAAGCACAAGAAGCATTATGATGATAGTTCTGATTCTGATTCTGACTCAGATGACAAGGAGTCCAAGAGGAGGAGGCGAGAAGAGAAAAAGCTGCGAAAAGAGGAAAGGCGCCTTAGACGTGAAGAACGGCACCGCAGAAGGGCGGACCGTCATGCCAGTAAACAGAGATTGAAGTATGCTGGTTCTCCCCTGTCAGACCTTGAGAAGGATCGTCAATCTGGCTCAGATGCTGATGTAGGGAAGAAAGGTTCATACACTCCGAGAGAAGAACCTGACCCAAACAAACTTGAAATTGAGCTTCGACAGAGGGCCCTTGAATCTCTTGCAAAGAAATCAAAGCATGTTGTTACTCCGTCTTCAGATGTCGAGAAGGACCGTGAATCTGACACGGATGCTGATGTTAGGAAGAGAGTTTCATAGGCTGGCTGAGAAGAATCTGATAAAAATAAACTTGAAGAGTTGAGCTTCGGGAGAAGACCCGTGAAACTATACAGATCAAAGAAAGCTGCCAATCACTAGGCTGGGGAATTTCTCGCAATGCATTTACACGTTTCTATTTTTCAAGAGCATATCTATATGTTATTGAAGTGTGCTCATATGATACCTGTTTAATGTTCTGTATGTTTATGTGGCAGTTGATCTGAGTAATTGACGATTCCTGAGCTGTTTCCTTGTTGCAGCTGCTTTCAGGCTTAGCTGCTTTTATCTGGTAATGTTTGCCTTCACATGTTTGTACGAACCATAACCCCAAGAATGAAATATTTATATTTTGTGATATTGTGCTCCCTTTTGTGTTATTTGAATTGGTACCAAAGTGATATACTTCCAACTTAATAATTCACCATTTGCCAGTTTTTCCTTGAAAAGATGCTTATCAAACCTGGATACTAATGTATATTCTATTTGTAGTTACTGATAAGAACTTAGTGTTGGCTAAATCCTGTTGCCTGATAGATGCTTATCGTATCAAATACTCCCTCCATCCCAAAATAAGTGACTCAACTTTGTACTAGTACTAACTTGCTTATCGTATCAAATACTCCCTCCATCCCAAAATAAGTGACTCAACTTTACACTGACTCAACTTTGTACTAGTACTAACTTTGTTACAAAGTTAGTGTAAAGTTGAGTCACTTATTTTGGGACGTAGGAAGTACCTCGTAGTAGACATGTGCCAGTGCCAAAGATACAAGCAAAAGGATGTAGATAATTTTATTTAATGGCCATAGTTCTTGCAATGAAGATTGAGGAAGTTTTAGTGTTTGCATGAACATGCCTTTTGATGGTAGCACGCCTGTTTAGCAGTACCACCGCACACTTGATTTATGTAAACTGTGTCATTTTGTTCATTTAAATTTGGATTGTTGGCAGATTAGGACCATGTGAACAAGGTTTTTATGTACCAGAGATTTAACAGCACCTCAGCGACAACCAGCTGGTTGCACCTTTGATGATTGTGAAACTCCCCTAAAGTGCTCCTGTTTCGTTTTGGTTGCTGCTCCTTAGAATGAGGTTTGTGCAGTATGTTCTTTTTTTTGTGTGTGTGGCTATGTCCTGATGAAGCAAATGCAATTTCTTGTAAGTATTTGAAGGTTGCTAACTTCACACAGAATGCCCATGAGTATTCTACTGTTGAATGAACATGAGTTGCTGATTATTTTGTGGTTCCTAGCATTCAGGTGCAAGTCTTGGGCAGGAGTTATATTTCTTTGTATATAGTTTCTAATGTGAGTATATGAGCTGCCATTTCTTGCTTTTTTTTCCGGGGCATTTCTTGCTCTATTGGGTGGGCTTACATGATGTTGAACATTTATGTGCATCCCCCCACCCCCAATGGCAGTGTCATTTCCCCCCTTATGATAGTGTTCTGCCATCTGCTTGCCTTTGCTTGGAACAAAAGTTTTTCTGTCAAATTCTTTTGTACACGCTGCTGATTTATGTGTATTATCATGTGTTCTTGTTTTATAGAGTGCCATTTTTCAGTACTCCCTCCGATCCATATTACTTGTTGCTGGTTCTGTAAGTATGGATCGGAGGGTGTGGTATTTTTGATGCAGATGTAGTATCATCATGATTTCATTGGTGACAGCTGTATAGCAAAATTGTCCCAGGTCATTGTACTTGTCTAGGTTAGTTTAGATGGTAATCCAATGTTCCCATTTTCATTGTACTCCCTCCGTAAAGAAATATAAGAGCGTTTAAATCACTAAAGTAGTGATCTAAACGCTCTTATATTTCTTTACGGAGGGAGTAAATTGGGAAATGATAATTACCAGAGTACAAGCACATGGCAAATTGAACATTTTCGATGGCAAGTTTAGTAACGCGAGGAGGACAACTTTAGTTGGCAAGCATGGCAACTTCGTACTTCAGTTTATTTTGGGACATAAGATTGACATGTCAACTAACTTGCCATCCTTGTGTCACTAGAATTGCCATTGAAAACGTTTGATTTGCCATGTGCTCGTACCTGATGCCAGGTATTTATTATTTTCGTTTAAATTTAAGTAGTATAGTTGCCCAGCAACAATGTTCCCATTTTCTTTGTTGATGACGGGAATAGGAGTAATGACGATTTGAGAGCTGGGGTTAGTCTGTGGTTCAAATTAAAGTGTACTCCCTCTGTAAACTAATATAAGAGCTTTTAGATTATTAAAGTAGTGATCTAAACGTTCTTATATTAGTTTACGGAGGGAGTAGTAAATAGTTCGTGACATTCACAAGCCAACATTTTAGCTGTTCATCAGCTGCCCAATCTTCTTTCTCATTAGTCATCTATTTGTTCATCCTTTTATGGTCTGGCCTTTTGTCATTACGTGTTGTGAGCCATGCACTTAACTTCTAGTTCTTTACTTGTGATCCGTGCTTTCAAGTTACATCAGTGTTTCTTGACATATCTGTCGTTTCCCATCATGGCATAAACGTACGGCTCGGTTGCTGGAGTAACCCTTTCAAGTGGAAACCAGGGATTGGTATTGTAGTTGTTAGGTTAGCTCCTGCCCTGGTAATTTCAGCATCAGTCGACAGCTTGCTTGCAGCCTTGGGTGAAGGCCATGAACTCATGATCGCAGTTAGGGATGCAAACCGGACGCGTCGACATGCTCAACTCGCTGCACCGATTAGACGGGCTTTGCACCGGTTGCGTTGGGCGGCGGCCACGTTCTCTCCATTGGAAAAGCCGTGGCTGGATCGGCGGTCGTTGGGCGGTCCGGAGAACGTCCCAAAATCTCACGCCCGCTGCAGGCTCTGACCGGCCATTGTCATGGCTACTGCCGCGCACCGCGTAAGTCGTGCCACTTGCTGCCGCCCCGGCAACTCACGTAACCTGCTACTTGCATGCTGGACGTGGGCTGGAGCCTGGAGGACGAGCGGCATCTGCCGTCCTTGTCCTTGTTTTGCTTTATAACAAGTAGTAGCAATTTGGTTAGAGACCCAGCGCAGTAACCTTTGAATTGCTTGTTTTAGAAGTTAGAGCAGGTTAGACTTTTGTGTCAAGACAAAGACAAATCGCAGGATCGAAATTCCTCGCCACTGCACAATCCTAGCCGTTTGCGTGTGCAGGGCATGATTCGACCTATATCATGGCTTTGGAGGATATGTTTGGATCCAAGTCCTTATTACGTGCTCGGGTTTGGAATCAGATGAAATAATGCTTGGACCCCGTCCTGGTCGGAGCCGCTGATGAGCATTTACTTGTGCAAGTTTACGTGCATGCACGGCGAGCGCATGCATGGGTCCACCCCGTGCTCTATCCTGGCGCTGGCGCGGCGAGCTATAGGCGAGCGAAGCAGTCCGTCGCTTGAATGCGGCGACTGCTTCCACGTGGGAAGGTTGGGCTGTGCACGATCACATGCACGTGCGGCGTCGACCCCAGCGTCCACCACCCATGCCCATGCATGCCTTGGTCTAGCCGGCCGACAGGTGGGCGGCACGAGAGCAGTCCGTCGCTCGCACCCGTGCGCCGCGCCCTGTACAAGCAATCATTAACGGCGTGCACGAAACAAACGCGTCGTGGGCATGGGTGCGGTGGAAAGGAAAATAAATCGTAGCGGTGTGGGGAGTAAAGTTGGTGAGGTCAAATCGGCGGAACCTAATCCCTCCCCGCCCGACCGATGCCATCGAGGCAGGTTGAAAACGAAGGTGTTGGTCGATTGCTTCCCTTAACGGGCCAAGCAAAGCTAATCAAGCACGGCCAGCACGCTGCCGTGCACAAGAACAACGTCTAGTCCGACGTGAGGGCCAAAAATGCTCACCCACCACGAGCTGCTTCTCAGCGAGACATGGCCAGCTCGCTCGGATCAGCACAACCCGTCGCGTCAGGGCGTCGCCCATGTCGATCGGTTCCTTCCTTACCCACGCCGCACTTCAGGTCAGGTAAAAACACACCACACCGTTAACAAGAGATAGATATATCGGGATATTCCTATCCTGTCCCCGCAGAAATTACGGCACTAGCAGCTAGCAAGCAGGCGATCGAATGCGTCTTGACACGAAGGAGGTTCGCTCCCACAGCGCCCCGACGTGAGGGTGAAAAGATGGATACATAGTAGCCAGTAGGTGCCCGAGGCATCCAAAGAAAGAAAGAAAGAAAGATCCCTTCCGTTTCGTGAGGGCAGTGCATTGGAACATGTACAATGTGCACGCACCTATCATTTCGTTCGCTTCCCTTTCGGCTCGTCATACACACACCGGCGGTGCCTGTCCGGTAGGGCCGTTCACAGTGGCACGCCATGTCGCCGTCTCCATGCTACTTTAAATCCGCACTGCTGACAAGCCTGCAGTGCTGGCTCTGTGGGGGGAAGCATACCCCTTTTCCCCCATGTCCACAACCTGAGCTGATTTGGGTGAAGGGAAAAGGGAAAAGACGAGTGAGCATTTGTGGTAGTGGGGGTTTGTTCTTGATGGATCACAAATGTTTCCGGGGCAGACAAGCATGCAAAGCTAGATTCTGAACCGGAGGCATATTGTTGACGGGTGATTTTTGCTACTCTCGTTTTAGTGCTCCTGTCGTGTACTAATATATGCCCACCAAAATGTACTTGGTTCAAGGAAACGCTAGCTAGAAATGGAAAATCGACTTGTACTGCTGCTCAATGGTTGATCCTAGTACTGTACCTTTTATGGCTCGGGGTCCAGGAAAAAGGCTTGTACTATGTAAAGTGCAGCGCATTTTGTGTGCGTGCGTGCATGGGATGCAGTAGCTCTCCGGGAACATGCACGAGTTTTCATATACTCCCTCCGTTCCTTGATATAACGTGTATAGATTTTTGAGAATTTTTTTTTAAAATATAAGATGTATTGCGTTGCACCACTCTTTTGGGTATATTTTTTAGGGATTTGATTACATTTTCTTATACCAGGCAAGTTCCTCTATTTTCTCATATCAATTAGTCACGTGAAATCTCGTCTAAAACTTGTGA